GACCAAAATCAATGCAATTTTATTATCAAGAGAAAAATAACATGTTTTTCTCTGCAGGTTGATTATACTGTCTCCAAGAGGTTGACTTAAAAATAAATTTAAAATATGGTACAAATACACACACTGAAGAACAATTAAAAAAAAAAAAAAAAAAAAAAAAACAATGGCAAAGATGAGGAACTAATGTGACCCCATCAGGGGACTGAGTGCTTTGCATTTAGAGTAGGCCCGAAGCTTCAGCAGACACATTCTTGGTTTTCCTCCATGGGATGAGGATTTAGGAAATGAATCCTGGACACATTCAGGCTTCCATGCAGACTCCAAGCTCCTATCCTGCCAGCTCCTATCCACAGTCCTACAGAAATTCAGAGGAAGACCAAAGGTAAAATACTCCCTACAATGGAAAGAGTTGGGGAGAGGAATCCCTTCAAATAACACAAGGCTAGAAGTGGACAACCCCTCATAGAAGGTCATACCCAACTTCCCGTTTCTTCCAACTGGGGAGAGTAACAATCAGAGAAATGAGCCAACATGGTTAAGACAACCTGGTCAATTAGTGACACAGGCCGGGCTCCTGCACAGCTATCCAGCCCCCGTTTAAAGACAGGAAAAGTTTAAATATGCTATAAAGAAAAAGACGGGATAAATGAGGCCAAGAGAACCAGTACTAGTATCTATAGCATGTACTTTACAAAGGTTATAAGGAAGTTTATAGATATGAACTGAAACTCAAGATGGTTAAAAAAAAATTACTCATAGAAACAGCTTATAAGAAATTGCACTCATCCCCTGTTATTGCCTACTCCATAGCCCCAGCTTTCTTTAAGAAGCCTTTTTGAATATAAGCCAGCTCAGTTGCCTGTGCCTGTACTCCCAGCTACTCAGAAGGCTGAACTGGGAGGATCACTTGAGCCCAAGAGTTCGAGGCCAGACTGTGCAATAATGGCAAGACCCTGCCTTTTTAAAAAAATTAAAAAAAAAAGCCTTTTGAATAGGAAATGTAATGTATATATAGAAAAATGCAGCATGCCAGAAAATCCACTTGCTGCTTTTCCCTTCCCTAGCCTGTTCTCTGTCCAAGAGGCTGGTGGATCCAAACTCCATGCAAAGGCTCATAGCCCCCTGACTTCCAGCTGAGTCCTGCTAACAGAAGCCTCAGAGAAGACTTACGCCAAGAGGAACCTGAGGCCAGGATGTTTATTCCCCTGGTTCCTTCCTGTAAGGGAACCTCAGGCTTACCGTCTCTCATAAGAAAAGCAATGCTCCAAGGCAGCTGACTCAACTAGGGTCTCTCCTTCCAAGTTCTAGTAACCCCGCCCTCCCTTGATCTCTTTGGTCCTAAGGGTGGTAAGGGTAAGAAAGCAACAACTTCAGGGTCCTGCCATACAGATGCTGGGGCCGCTTCCTTATTATATATGCCCACATCCCACCAAAACATTTACCACCTAAGTATGAATTCCTAAGCACCGTATTTTCATTTCATCTGCTTTTTGAAATTTATACAAATGGAATATGATATGAATTCCTTCATGTCTGGCTTTTTCAACTTAGCACTAGATTCGTAAGATTCATCCATGTTGTTCTATCTGCCCTGTGCATCATTATCTGTGATTGCAACTAACACTCCACTCTATGCCTACACCACAAGTAACTTATTCATTCTATAGCTGGTAAACATTTAGGTTGTTCCTAATTTGGAGTTGCTGTAAATAACGTTACTGTGAACATTCTTGTCCATGTCTCCTGGTACACAAAAGCAAGTATTTTTACTGGTTATAGACTTAGGAGTGGACTATGAGTCATGGAGTGACTGTATATTCATTTTAGCACTTAATATTAAACCATTTTCCATGTTTAAACTCCCACTGGCAACGTTCCTAGTTAATCAATAACCTCACCATTCAATATCCATGCCACCACTTTGCACTGTCCATCTTTTTCATCATAGAGATTCTGGTGAATGAATAATATCCTACTGTGGTTTTAATCTTCATTTTCCCAATTACTAATACAAAGTTGAGCAGACTTACATGTTACTGACCATTTGGATCTACTCATTCTTGAGTACTTGTTCAAGTCTTTTGGCCACTGAATGGCAGAGATCCAAGATACCACAATTACACATACAGGCTGCCAGAATCCAGCTATAAAACCTTTCCTTGGGAATATCAACTCATTAGCAAGAACAGGGAGATAAAAAGATGGTCTATTCCCTCAGGAGGCTGTTTGCTATAAGTCAAATTACTATTTATGATGATTCTCTATTAAGTAGGACCAACTTCAAAAAAAATTACTAAAGCAAAATATAATACCAAAACACAAAATACAGAAAGAACATACAATCTGAGAGTCATGAGTAAATATTTCTGGGTCACACCATGTAAACTACATACTTTGCAGATGGCATGAAGATTAAACTGGATCAGGCATGTAAGGCTCTCAGAATCCTGCCTCACAGTCACCTCTGATTATCTTTCATAATTTAGGTAAAAATAATGGCTGATATAATAAAAAATCCTAAGTAACCTGTCTTAAACCAACAACCCTCAAACTTATAGATACATGGTTACTTTTGCTATACAGATGGCTATGTACTAAAATCCTCAACCACATACACTATTACATAGGTTTGTGTTTAAATAACCTGATAACACATCACTTGTTCCTTTACCAATTCTGGCCCTCCACAAGTCTTCTTTCTTTCTTTTCCTTTTTTTTTTTTTTTTCTTTTTCTGACAGAGTCTCACTATGTTGCCCAGGCTGGAGTGCAGTGGCATGATCTCAGGTCACTGCAACCTCCACCTCCTGGGTTCAAGCAATTCTCCTGCCTCAGTCTCCCTAGTAGCTGGGATTACAGGAGTGTGCCACCATACCCAGCTCATGGGTTATGGGAGAGAACTACAGACCCCACATCCTTGCCTAAGTCTCCCCATCTCATAAGCTGGTCAGTGTCCCTGCTGCTGACTCTGGGCCCCAACATCCATTCCTTCTCCAACCTATCCATTTCTTCACCTACTTGTTCAGTCAGACATTCAACCACTATGAAATGCCTCTTTCCTACATACATATGCAACACGGGCCAACTCTCAAGGAATGCAACTTAGTGGAGGACAAAAAGCAAGTAAACATGCAGTAAGAATGCAAACATGTGCCACTACAGGGATAGGTACCAAGTGATAAGGAACCCTGCAGGGATGAACAACCAGCCGAGCTTCGGAGGGGCAGGGAAAACGTCCCTGAAAAGGAAGCTACAAGAATAAAGAGCAGTAGGCCACTCCATGAGGTGGGAGTGGGTAGAAGAGCATGTGAGAGGCAGAAGTGGGTGGAACAGCATGTGAGAGGCAGAAAGAGCAAATGCAGCCAGTCCAGAGGGCTGGAATGGATGGCGAGATGGAGAAAAAGTGAGAGCTCACTCCACCTAAAGTCAGGCCTATGGGGAGCCCTCAGGTGCTCCTGGATGCCTCCTCTAAGAGCCTGGCAATTCAAAAAAAGAATGCCCCTGTGTACCATAAAGGGCTCAAGTCTTAATGAGAGGACTCTTCTAGACATACACCATCATTGTATCTGTTGATTTTAGCAGCAATGGGGAAGCTAATCAATACTTAATTTTAGGAAAGTGACAAGCTATATGAATAGGGCAATGGACAGATAAGGTGTACAGGCAGGAGATTTCTACCTGGCTGAAATATCAAACTCCTACGTGGTATATGAAATATACCACCACATATAAAAAATTGATGAATGTAATTCAGCCATAAGAAGTCCTACCTACTGGACAGATCAATATAATCACCTCCTAAGAAGTTATTACAGTGGGAGAAACGGGGCTTGGCTTTACCCTGAGTTCTTAAGCATGTAACTGACCTTCAGTTTCTTCATTCACACAAGGAATAGTTGCTATGGTTGTCTCCAGCACTTCTAAAACCCATCATTCTGGCAGGATGTAACAATCAAAAGTATTTTATCACCAAATGCAAGGATTTAAGTAACTTTTCTAAGCCACAGACTTACAATGGTTTTATCTGGGGGGAAAAAAATGGATGGGCCCCCAAACTGTCTAAAATTCAAAAAACAAATACATTTAAGTTCCTGTACCTTTTAAAAGTTGACAAACCATACATAACCAAATACAAAAATAATTAAAATTTTAGGATAAGCAAATAAGAGGATAATTTTTTTTTTTTTTTAAGAAATGAGAAAGTAAAAAAATTAACCTAACGAGGCAGGCAGTGATTCGTTGCTCACTTCCCCTTCTGCTGGTTTCATTTCCCTTCTTAGGTGAAAACACTTCTAATATGTAAATCAGTCCACTACAGACTTCAGAGTCCTTTCTGCTAAGATTTACAGAAATTTTTATGCAAAAGAAATTATTTCTAGACTTCCATGTACTAGAAAAGGAGACTTACAAAATATACCAAACTAAAGTGGATAAATGTATGTGGCAAAGCAGAAGCAAGTAACTAAAGATCCTACTTTTAAACATTTAGAAATGTTTAAATACTAAAAAGTAGAAATGTAAATATTCTATAATTTTTAAGAACTCAGTAGTAAAAAGTGAGACTCAAATCATTTAGGAGAACCTACTAAGTGCCAGGTACTATGTTAACTTGGGATCTTTCTGGTTTAGGCCCCTTACAATCCTACTGGATAGTATTATCCTTATTTCAACTGTACAGAAATGAAGTAGCAACAATAGCTTAGTCAGAGTGGGTAAGTAACTAGACAAAATCACACAGCTTAGAAAGCAAAGAAGCTAGACTTTAAAGCCCCTTTTACTCAATATCAAATCTCCTTTTCCTTCCATAGATGATGCAGACTTTAAGCATCAAAGTACACAAACTGAAGAAACCGTACCCTTTGTATATAATTCTCTTAAGTATAGGCCATCCTTTTAAGGGGAGCTTATGCATAAACAAATTATTTGTGAAAGAGAAAAACCACATCCAGGGTAAAGTCATAAGGTGAAAAAGCCTATTTCAGAAAGCACTTCCTGAAAGAGACAAAGCAGCAATTACAGTCAGCTCAGCACCAACTCCTATGCCAAGCGTTACATTGGAAACTACTTTTTAAAGCAACAAACGTCTAAAACAAAATACAACATTTCTTAAACACACTGTTTCCAGAAAGAGCTATTTTAACAGAGGCAACTCAAAGATATCTCTTCGACAGAAGTGAGTATGCTGAAAAATGTTCATCTCTTATACAGCCTATTGATGGACAAGAGGTAAGCAGCATTTAATTAACTTCATTATTATTGCCAAAAGTAATGCTTTATATACTAAATTTCAAAAATCATTTCATTTTAATAATACAAGCCGGTCACGATGCCCCATGCCTGTAACTCCAGAACTTTGGGAGGCCAAGGCAGGAGGATCACTTGTGCCTAGGAGCAACAGTGAGACGCCGTCTCTATAAAAAAAATATATATATATATAACTGAACCTTGTTGGTGAAGGACCCTGAAAAAGGCTATATAATCATCTTTCCACATTAATATGATTTTGCATTTATTTTCAATATTGCTTTACATTAACAGTAAATATAATTTTTTTCAGCTTAAGGAAAACATTTACGGCAAATCCTATGTACATTTAGGAATGTTCATCACATGGTTTCAATTACATTGCTTCATGAAACATAGTTAATGGTTTTTAAGAAAAGAGAAGCTACAGATAATCATGGTATCTACAGCTTTTAAAAAGCTGACTTGAAAGTCAATCACTTTTCAATATTTATCCAAAAATCTTACTGTGTTTGCAGAACACAATCAATTCTATATTGCCTTTAAAACACATGCATCACTCCTATTTTTTTCAAACTTGAGCAAATGAATAGAAGTACTGGTGACAAATAAGCTACATAAAAACAGCTTGAGCCTAACACAGCAAAAAAGATTTACTCAAAATGGTAAGTACAGGACTTATGCCACAAAATTAAAGGATGAGGATAGGTGAAGGGAGTCCTGACATAACACTAAAAAAGAAAAACAAATACAAATTTTCATTTATATTACAATTGCTACTACTTAAGAATTCACTCCAGTTAAAAATAAGATTTAAGCCTCCAAAATTACTCTCCTTTGAATGACACTGGATATATAATTTTTCTCTGCAGTACTTTCCTCATTTGATAGAAATTAATATTCTAGTCACACAAATATTTGGAAAATTTAATGTAAGTTTTAAAATATATATAATTCTACACCAAAGTCATATTTAACCTAAATATTTGAGAAGGAAAGATGGAAAGGAAGGGAAGGAAGGAAAGAAGGCAGGCAGGCAGGCAGGCAGGCACATATCTTGTGATTATCCACAGCAACTGCTCAAGTTAATTCTTAATTGTCTGTAGCCGGTGATGCCACTGACCATAGCAAATCACCCTCACAGTTTTCATTAAAGAGAAATTCTGGGCTGATTTCAAGACAACCCACTCTGCAAAGTGACATTTTTGAAGGAAACTTTTCACCCACCTCCACATTTCAAGGGGATGCCACAGGTTCCATCTCATTGCAGCAAAGTCTATTTTTAAAATCTCTTGTTAGTGTTGCATCATGGGGGAGTGAAGTTTCAAACTGAGGGGTTCAATGCTATTTGCAACCCCAAATAAACTCCTTTCCATTTAAAATGGACAGTTTTTTGGGGGGGGGAGGGTTACGGAAATTTATTAGTTTCTACACACACATCAAGTTACTGAATGACTTCTTATTAATATCTACTTGCCTTAGATACTCCTTTTTTGGATCTACTTAAAATTTTTTTTAAATTTAAATAATATTTAAGCTTCTGAATGTAGGTAGAATGAGGATATGTAAGTTACTAATGGCACTAGCTTATTTTCAAGGTGCAGCTTTCTGTGCACCACTGAAGTAGAGCAGCTGAAAAGCAGTTTCTTGTTTTGGTGAACAAAACCTGCAGGACTTGGCATTATGTACTCCCAACTGTGCCTTAGAAAACAGCTCATCTATTGTTCTAACAGTCCAGTTCTTCATCTGTTGACCATGGCACAAAACACTACTGTTTCTAGATCTATAATTTAAAGAGAACATAAGGTTATAAATATTATAAAGTGTTTACACTTAAAAAAAAAAAGTTTAATGGCCAGCTAAACAAGTCTTCATTTTCTAACTAGAGAATTACAAATGAGAGTTTTTTAGTAGAGCTGCTGTAAGTCATCTCACCAAAAGTTCCTTTATTTATTCATTGATTCAGTAAATATTTTATTGAGTACCTATTACATGCTCAATAGACAGTGGGGCTACAGCTGTAACAAAGGAAAAGTTCCCATTTCTCTCTCAAATGAGAATTACTGTGAATGTTCAGTAGTTAACCACTTGAATGGTTCCTTGATTAATTTTCCACATTTCTATTTATGTTTTGCTATTAAAATTATATTTAACGAATAAAAATACATTATTTAGACATTGCTCATCTGGTTGCAAAATATTTAAACAGAATGAAGGTGATAAAAAGTGGCAAACAATTGCATAAGATTCAAAATTCAGAATGGCCTTTTCCCTATTAGTCCAAAACAAAGGACACTTACAGAAACAATTGTTACCTAATTTCACACTATAGAAAAAAATTGTAAAGAAATGGCTATTCTTGTAGGAAGAAGGGAAGTGAGCAGGGGGAGAGAGAGAGAGAGAGAGAGAGAGAGAGATGAATGAAATTGTCAATGAATTGTGACAACAGGACCATTTTAATAGACTGATACAAATTAGTAATAATCTCTAGGGAATGGATTCCTTAACTAAGACATATAGAGTGAGTCTGTAACATAAAATGCTCTCAAAATTAAAATTCACCGACAGCCAAGGTGAGTGGGAGAATGTCAAGCATTTATTTTTCAACCAAAATTTTATTCCTACTTTTCTTAACTATTTTTACAGTTTCTAAGTGTCATGCCTACCAACAAGCTGTAAAATGATCACCCTGAACGATCAAGATCAACCTGTCCCTTTTAACAACTCACATCCAGGTGAATACAAAATTGCAGCCCTTGTCTTCTATAGCTGTATCTTCATAATTGGATTATTTGTTAATGTCACTGCATTATGGGTTTTCAGTTGTACCACTAAGAAGAGAACTACTGTAACCATCTATATGATGAATGTGGCATTACTGGACTTGATATTTATCATGACTTTACCCTTTCGAATGTTTTATTATGCAAAAGATGAATGGCCATTTGGAGAGTACTTCTGTCAGATTCTTGGAGCTCTCACAGTGTTTTACCCAAGTATTGCTCTATGGCTTCTTGCCTTTATTAGTGCCGACAGATACATGGCCATTGTACAGCCAAAGTATGCCAAAGAACTTAAAAACACGTGCAAAGCCGTGCTGGCGTGTGCGGGAGTATGGATAATGACCCTGACCTCGACCATCCCTCTGCTATTGCTCTATAAAGACCCGGATAAAGGCTCCAGCCCCGCCACCTGTCTCAAGATTTCTGACATTATCTATCTAAAAACCGTGAACGTGCTGAACTTCACTCGACTGACATTTTTCTTCTTGATTCCCTTGTTCATCATGATTGGGTGCTACTTGGTCATTATTCATAGTCTCCTTCACGGCAGGACGTCTAAGCTGAAACCCAAAGTCAAGGAGAAGTCCATAAGGATCATCATCACACTGCTGGTGCAGGTGCTCATCTGCTTTATGCCCTTCCACATCTGTTTTGCTTTCCTGATGCTGGGATCAGGGGAGAATAGTTATAATCCCTGGGGAGCCTTTACTACCTTCCTTATGAACCTCAGTACGTGTCTGGATGTGATTCTCTACTACATCGTTTCAAAACAATTTCAGGCTCGAGTCATTAGTGTCATGCTATACCGTAATTACCTTCGAAGCATGCGCAGAAAAAGTTTCCGATCTGGTAGTTTACGGTCACTAAGCAATATAAACAGTGAAATGCTATGAATAATAGAAAGGTTTTTTTACTTCAATCCCATTAAAATTCACTTTATGAACTAGTCTGGGGTCAATGAGTACTTTGTATAATACTATCAAGTCCCTTTTCTCTTGAAAAAAATAAATTCATTATCTTCATTTGAAAAACTTATATAAAACATTTTTGTGAATTATTCGGAGAAAAATATCCAATTTGTCTTTCATAGTCAAGCCTTATTTACACAGATAATTGAGTTAAATTTTTGCATTTAATTCTATGTGGAAGTGACACGTGTATGTTAATCAAGTCAGCAGGAGGGGAAATCCAGCTACCATATATAATAATTTGATTAAATTATTTTCTACCTAGATGCAGCTCCCTGCAAATTAGGTCTAATTTGCACTAGGATTAATTGTAAGTCCAACATTTTATGTCCCAAACACCAACTTCCAGAATTCCTATACAGGAAATTATGCTGGACTCATTACTGTTACTTACTATAAGGCAAAATTAATAGGAACAAGAACCCAAGGGGGCCTGGTAAAGGCTATCCCCATCAGCCCTCCCCAACTCTGAATTCATTCTTTTGAAAACAGAGGACAGTCATTCAACAAACATTGAGAGCCTACTATGCACCAAACCCTACTTAAGACTAACGATGAAAACCTAATCTGAAATGTTGTTTCTATCCAACAATCCAAGTTCATTTCTATCATGTGAGATAACTATAATATGGTGATACACCACTCTCCAATACAAAAAGTTAGGTCTTCTTTTGTGGTTAAAAATCCCGTTTTTACAAGGGGTTAACTGATTTTTTTTCTAGGCCATATAAATAGCATAGGTCACAGTATAAATAGTACTAATAGGAACCTTGAATTCTTAGTCTTGCCATTTAATTTCTCCTAATAAAGTACCAAACCAAGTAACTTACCATCTAAAAGAAAGGGAATGAACTATAATCTACAAAGCCCATATTATCCTCAATACTATGGAAGTAAAATAAATGATTCAACTACAACTTCCTCTCCACTAAATTACCTTTATCATTCTTAACATAATCATATCCTACTGGGGCTTAGAACCAAATATATGCATTGGTTAGAAATTGATTTCTGGCTGGGCGTGGTGGCTCATGTATGTAATCCCAGCACTTTGGGAGGTTGAGGTGGACAGATCACTTGATCTCAGGAGGTAGAGATCAGCTTGGTCAACATGGTGAAACCCAGTGCTACTAAAAATACAAAAATTAGCCAGGCATGGTGGTGCACGCCTATAATCCCAGCTACTTAGGAGAACTGCTTGAACCCAGGAGGCAGAGGTTGCAGTGTGCCAAGACAGCACCACTGCACTCCAGCCTGGGCGACAAGGGGGCAGGAGGGTGGGGTAAAGGGGAGGGGGGAGGGGAGGAGAGGGAAAAAGAGAGAGAGAGAGAGAGAGAAAGAGAGAGAGAGAAAAAGAAAAGAAAAAGAAAGAAAGAAAGAAAGAAAAGAATGAGAAAGGAAAGAAGGAAGGAAAGAGATTTTTGGAAATAACAGGTAAACTCATATTCTTTAGAAACAAAAAAAAGATTAAAAAACACAAAAAGGCTAATCATAAAATAGCATTTTTGCACTAGAAGGTCCCCTGGACAATCTTCTGGTATAATTCTTCTGTTTGAAATATAAAAAAATGAAGTCCAAAGAGGTTATGTGACTTGCTCAGCTGAAGAACCATACCTAGAAACTAAGGTCAGTTCTTCTATATCAAACACCAATTTTTCAATAATAAAAAGCAAATATATTTAGATAATGTAGACACTCTTAGAGCTATATGAGGTGGTAATGAGATGCAGTTTCTCAATAAAGAGAAAAACACAAAGATTTTAAGTTTTAATAATCAAATGAGTAAAAGATATATCTTTATATTATATTTTATATACATTAAGTATCTTTATAGATATTATATATCTTTGTATATTTTATATATATTTAACACATAATTATTTCTAAAACAAGAAAAACAACACCTGTATTTGATATGTAGGTTTATTTTACACACATACATAGTAAGAGTCAACTCTCAACCATAGAGATGAATCTATACTTAAATTTATTAGATAGAAGAGTTCTCTGCCATAGCTTGTCTTGATAAGAAGAGTTTAGTCATCAGCCTTGGGAAAGAATTTGTGACTAAGTCTTCAAAAGCAATTGCAACAAAAACAAAAATGGCCATACTGCCCAAAGCAATCTACAGATTCAAGGGTATTCCTAGCAAAATACAACGTCATTTTTCACAGAATTAGAAAAAAACTATTCTAAAATCACATAAAACCAAAAAAAGAGCCCAAATAGCCAAGGCAATCCGAAGCGGGAAAAAAAGAAAAAAAAGGCCAGAGGCATCACATTATCTGATTTCAAAGTATAAGACTTATAGTTCAAATATAGTTCAAACTATAACCAGAACAGCATGGTTACTGGTACAAGAACCGACAAACAGACCAGTGGAATAGAATAGAGAACCCAGAAATAAAGCCTCACACCTACACCCATTTGATTTTCAACAAAGTTCACAAAAATAAACAGTGGTGAAAGGATTCCCTATTCAACAAATGGTGGTGGAATAGCTGGCTAGTCATAGCAGAAGAATGAAACTGTACACTTACCTTGCACCACATACAAATATTAACTCAAGATGGATTAAAGATTTAAGTGCAAGACCTCAGGCTATAAGAATCCTAGAAGAAAACCTAGGAAACACATTCTGGACATCAGCCTTGGGAAAGAATTTGTAAACTGGTCTTCAAAAGCAATTGCAATGCAAACAAAAATTGACAAGTGGGGCCCCATTTTAACCAAAGAGCTTCTGCACAGCAAAAGAAACTATCAACAAAGTAAACAAAACCTATAAAATGGGAGAAACTATTCACAAACTATGCATCTGACAAAGATCTAATATCCAGAATCTGAAAGGAACTTGATTCAACAAGCACAAAACAAATAACCCCATTAAAAAGTGGGCAAAAGATAGGAACAGATTTCAGAAGAAGACACACAAGCAGCCAACACACGTGAAAAAAATGCTCATAGGTAATCATCAGAGAAATTCAAATCAAAACCACAATGAGATATCATCTCACACCAGTCAAAATGGCTATTAGAAAGACAAAAATCAACAGATGCTGGTGAGATCTGGGAAGAAAAGGGAAACTTATACACTGTTGCATATAAGTGAGAAAAGGGAATACTAATACACTGTTGGTGGGAATGTAAATAAGTTTAGCCACTAGGGAAAGTAGTTTGGAGATTTCTCAAAGAACTTAAAAAGAACTACCATTCAACTCAGCAATCCCTGTACTGGGTACACAGCCAAAAGAAAATAAATCATTCTACCAAAAAGACACATGTACTCACATGTTCATCACAGAACTACTCACAATAGCAAAGACATAGAATTAACCTAGGAGTCCATCAACAATGGACTGGATAATGAAAATATGGTATATATACACCATGGAATATTATACAGCCACAAAAAAGAACAAAATCACGTCCTTTGCAGCAACATGGATGCAGTTGGAGGCCACTATCCTAAATAAATTACTGCAGGAACAGAAAACCAAGTATGACATGATCTCACTTAAAAGTGGGAGCTAAACACTGGGTACACATGGACATAAAGATGGCAGCAATAGGTGCTGGGGACTACTAGAGAGGGAAAGGAGGGAGGGAAGCAAGGGTTGAAAAACTAACTACCGGGTAATATGCTCACTACCTGGGTGACCAGATCATCTGTACCCCAAGCCTCAGCATCATGCAATATACTCATATAACAAACCTGCACATGTATCCCCTGAATCTGAAAGCTCAAATTTCAAAATACAAAAACAGACTCAGTGACCTACTGCATTAACAAGCAAAGACAAAGATTTCTAGCTTGCATGACTCCAAGTAGATGCTAACTAAAATAAGAAAAAAGAGGGAAAGAGGATAGAGAGGAAGCCAGAAGAGAAGAGAGCTTCTGAATATGAGTTTTCTTTGAATCTATAAATCATTAGGAAATAAGACTCTAGACCAGGCATGGTGGCTCACGCCTATAATCCCAGCACTTTGGGAGGCCAAGGCAGGAGGATCACTGGAGGCCAGGAGTTTGACACCAGCCTGGGCAAAATAGCAAGACCCCATCTCTACAAAAAAACAAATAACAACAACAACAACAACAATAACAACAACAAAAAACATTGGCCAGGTACAGTGGCTCACACCTGTAATCCCAGCACTTTGGGAGGCCCAGGCAGATGGATTATCTGAGGTCAGGAGTTCCTGACCAGCCTGACTAACATGGTGAAGCCCCTGATCTCACCACTGTACTCCAGGACTGGCCAACAGAATAAGACCTCATTTCTTAAAATAAAAGAAAGAAAAGAAATAAGACTCCAGAAAGATCAGGAGAGTAGTATGGATTGGAAATAGAGAGCTGGGAAGCAAACAACAGATGTTCACTGTAGTTGAAATCAAAAGAGTGGGCAAGATAGCCCAAAAAAACTTGAGAAAAGAGCTGTATGCAGTAACTAAGGTTGAAAAGAACTAGGAGGGAGTAGTTTGTGGGACTGAAGAGACCAGGTAGTTTCATGAAATAAGGAGAGGTTAAAAGCATTTAATACGCTACTGAAAGATTAAATAGGATGACCAGTGGCTTTAGAAATTTGGTGACCATTATAAGAGAAGTTCCTACAGTGGTGAGGTTAAAAATAAAAAAGACAATAGGAAGTAAAGAACTGTAGGTCAGGTGCAGTGGCTCACACCTGTAATCCCAGCACTTTGGGAGGCCAAGGTGAGCGGATCACGAGGTCAGGAGATCGAGACCATCCTCGCCATGGTGAAACCCCATCTCTACTAAAATACAAAAAATTAGCTGGGCATGCTGGTGCGCGCCTATAGTCCCAGCTACTCAGGAGGCTGAGGCAAGGGTTGTGAGTTGAGATCATGCCACTGCACTCCACGCTGGAGACAGAGCAAGACTCCATCTCAAAAACAACAACAACAACAACAACAACAAAACCTTTAAAGAATGCAGATAAATTTGGTACTGATGGAGAAGAAAAATATTAGATATTAAGTGAAAAACGCTGCAAATTGTAAAGCACACTGTTTTTTTTATTTTTAAGTTCTGGGATACATGTGCAGAATGTGCAGGTTTCTTACACAGGTATACATGTGCCATGGTGGTTTGCTGCACCTATTAATCCGTCATCTACATTTTAAGCCTTGCACACATTAGGTATTTGTCCTAATGCTCTCCCTCCCCTTGACTCCACCCTCTGAAAAGCTCCAGTGTGTGATGTTCCCCTCCCTGTGTCCATGAAGCACACTGATTTAAACAAAGAAACAGTAGTTTCCATAAAGGATATATTTGTGGCTGGGTACAGTGGCTCACCCCAGCAATCCCAGCACTTTGGGTGGCCGAGAAAGGAGGATCACTTGAGCCCAGAAATTCAAGACCAGCCTAGACAACATAGCAAAATCTTTTCTCTACCAAATAATAATAATAATAATAATAATAATAATAATAATAATGTTTTTAAGAGATGTATTTACAGAACACAAAGTTTACTTGTTGAACTGTGTTCCAAGAAGTCTATGTTTGAGAAAGCCTCAAGATTAAAAAAAGTCATACTATATACCGTAATGTTTTGTGACTTGAAAAGAGAGATATTCTCATTCAGGAGGTGGCTGAATTAACATTTATAGTGTCTTTCAAAGGGGATGCTAAAATGTTACAATTTATTCAGGTTTGTAACTCTTGCTACAAACTGAGATTTAAGTAGGTAAATCCCTTCTCTCTTCTAAGAGTAAGCAAAAATATTCCCACCAACTTCAAAATCGAATCAATCTTTGTTTTATGCACTAGTTAATAGGATTCCTAATTAAATAAATGAATATGAAGGTTCTATTGTCATTCAATTTTATGTACAGCAGGAAAAAGAAGTGTCATCGGACAAGGGGACAGTGTAAATAAGAATTAATGCTAAGTTACTATCCATCTCCAAAGTTTATTCTAACACAGACATACATACCTCCCATCACTCAGTGGGCTGTACAGGGAACCAAAAAGAACTGGCCTGATAAGAGGTGTTTTGGGGAAAACTGATGATTTAGCAATGCTGCTGCTTTCCTGAATCAATGTGGAATCATTCCTGATGACTACACTATTTTCCACAATAACAGAATAGTCAACTTTAACTTATCAGTCTAATTACAATGACCACCTGTGGAATTCAAACTGCATGCTAACTATGACAGAGAACTTTATGTCTCCATTCAAGTATTATTCAGAATCATACATTAATGAAATAGCTAAAGGTTAACATTCATAGATATTCACACCAACTATAATTCACAAAGGGCAGCTACACTGTAAACATTAACAATGCAGGTATGAAACTTACTAGAACATTAATTTTTAAATAGGGATCCAAAGTGAATTTGAATCAAGATACATATAGCAGCTTAATAGTTCTCAAAACACATATTTAAAAGAAGAATGAAGATAGTACACACACAGAATTTTGAATATTTGGTATCTACATTTCATACTACCTTATTTCCCAAACAGTGTCTCAGATACTTAATTCAGATGCTTGGAGGCCATTTACATGTGCTAACAACTCTGCTCCTAGATTCAAGTTTTTTCACACACCAATATATGGTTTTTGGTTTTTGTTTCTTTGTTTGCTTTTGAGGTGGAGTCTTGCTCTGTCACCCAGGATGAAGTGCAGTGATGCAATCTTGGCTCACTGCAACCTCCGCTTCCTGGGTTCAAGCGATGCTTCTGCATCAGCCTCCTGAGTAGCTGAGACTACAGGTGCGTGCCACCACGCCCAGTTAATTTTTATATTTACTGGCCAGGATGGTCTCAACTCCTGACCTCATGATCTGCCTGCCTTGGCCTTCCAAAGTGCTAGAATTACAGGCATGAGCCACCAAGCCCAACCTGTTTTGTTTTGTTTTCTTTTCTTCTCTGAGATGAAGTCTTACTCTGCCAACTCTGCTCCTAGATTCTAGTTACTTCACACACGAATATGTGGTTTTTTTGTTTTTTTAAAGAATCAATGCAATATGAAAGCATACACATTCTGCAGGTTGTCTACAAAGTTATAACCCATACAATGGCTTTGTTTTATGTTTGATGGAAGTGTATAAAACATTATCAGCTTTTAAAAAATCATTCTTCAGAGGCTTAACCTCATAACAAATTAATTTTGTTTCCTAATCTAATTAAACTTTATATTTTTGTGTTTAGTTCATAAAATTACAAAGACAAATTTCACTATAAAAACACACAAAACTAATTCTATCAGGACCAGAATAGGAAATTCATTTAAAAAATTCTCCAAAACACAGAATTTTACAGCTAAGAAGAAAAAAAAAAAAAAAAAAAACTAATTTGGCTGGATGTAGTGGCTCACACATGTAATCGCAGCATTTTGGGAGGCCGAGGCAGGTGGATTACCTGAGGTCAGGAGTTCAAAACCAGCCCAGCCAATGTGGTGAAACTCTGCCTCTACTAAAAAATACAAAAATTAGCCAGGCATGGTGGCACGTGCCTTTAGTCCCAGCTACTCAGGAGGCTGAGGCAGGAAAATCCCTTAAACCCAGGAGGCGAAGGTTACAGCGCGCCGAGATCACACCACTGCATTCCAACCTGGGTGATAGAGCAGACTTTGTCTCAAAAAATTAATGTAAAACTGATTCTATTTCAAGAACATAATGAAAATGTAGGCATATATTGGACATTTTTACATATGAAATCAATTTTATTATACCTAGAAGTTTAAAAATTCTTTTACTGACTTTCACATATAATAATACTTTATATCAGATTCAAGTAGTTCTAAATTAAGTCAATCTTTAAGTGCTACTTACAATCCAGAAGGCAAATTACTAGCTGCAGTGATGCCAAAGGAATACTGCATAGCTTCAACGAGGAGAAAGTCAAATAAGGCTGACAAAACCCAGGAACCCAGCAAAAAGGACTACAAAATAAAACAGCAGAAAAATTATAGAGATGAGTCTCCTAAAAATAAGAAACATTTATTCAGTAGAATTAGCTCAGAGGGGTGTGTGTGTGTGTGTGTGTGTGTGTGTGTGTGTGTGTGTTTCGTGCAAGTTGCACGAAAGGTACTTGAATTTTTTTTGTGCTTATAAGAAAACATATTCTCATTTAAGATAACAGAAAACTGCCTGTAAGAAATTTTAGGATTGCGTTTAGTTTTTTTTTAATTACATACATGAGCTAGAAAGAAAGGCTAACAAATGATGAAAATTATTTGTTTTTATTAAAACAGATTTTTGAAAATGGGCAGAGTAAAACCATATTGCTCAAATGTATTAATATTCACAATTTTTAAGTATGCTGAAGATATATTTTTAACAACTAAAACACAAACCACTATGCAAAATAAATTATAATTTTATTAAAGTCAAAGTATTAAAATTTGTATTAGCTATTCACAATTAATACGACACATTATCATCATTATGCTAGTAACTTACATTTTAAAATTTTCTTTGGTTAATGTCCATGTGCCTCAAATCAGATACAGAATTAATTAAAAAGATAATTGTAAATAATAACACCAAGTTTAACAACATAAAACCCATTTAAACAAAATTTTTTTCTATAGCCTAAGTAGCAAGGGCAAAATACATAAAAACTTACCGCAAATTTTCTGCTTCCATATCTTCTTTCAAATATCCTAAAATTATAAATAAGCAGACTACTGCAGAAAGTATCTTTCAAATCAAGGCAAATTATTCTTCCACATATCAACCTCCAAATCTAGATGGGGATTTAAAAAAGAACAATAAACAAGAGTAAGATTTGTTCAGGTATGTTCCCTTAGCAAATTTATTATGTTTACACTGCCTATTTTGAATACTCTCAACAAAATCATAATGCACACACAAAAGGAAAACTATATACATATATTTTCTAAGAAACAAGTTCAAGTCTCTCACAGTAAAAGTTTCTTCCAACAGTAGCACGAAAAGTACTTGTATTTTTTTGTGCTTATAATAAGAAAACATACTCTCATTAACCAAAAACTGCCTGTAAGAAATTTTAGGATTGTGTTTGGTAAGATTTTTAAAAAGTATATACATAAGGTAGAATGAAAGGATAACAAATGTTCATTTTTACACTATTGAGTAAGACAAACTTGTAACTGAAAAACAACTTAGGTATAAACTCAAAAATATACATTTCTGAGCTTAATTTTAATCATCAACCTACTTCATAGCAACTATGCACAAAGCAATTTACGGTAACTGCTGCTAAATATGACTTTGAAATATTAGTTTATTTAAACAATTGTTTCACCCAACTTCTAGTTGCATAAAAAACATATAAGGGGAAATACATATATAAAAAAAAGAGCTACTCAACAGCCTATTTTGAGTATGCTTAAACATTCTTCCGATTTTTAAAGATAATCCCAATGATATTTAACAAACATTCTAATCTTATTTCTTCTTCACAACTATCTTATGTGATAGGTAAAACAAATATTAATCCCACCTTTTCATTGTATTTTTATTGTAGTAAAACAGACATAATATTTATGATTTTAACTCCTGAGTAAACAATTCAGTGGTATTAAGCAAATTCACAACGTTATACAACCATCACCACTATCTATTTCCAGAGCTCTTCATCATCCCAGACAGAAACGCTGTGCTAACTCCCTGTTCCCTCCCGCCTTAGCCCCAGGAAACAATATTCTATTTATGTCCCTACAAGTTTGTTTATACTGGATACCTCATGTAAGTGAGATCATGTATTTCTCCTTTTACACTTGCTCATTTCACTTTGCATATTTTCAAGGTTCATAGTAAAGTATGTATAAATCTCATTCTCATTTACAGTTGAATAGTATTCTATGGTATGTATATACCACATTTTGTTTACCCATTTATCTGCTGATAATATGAGTTTCTACCTTTTTGCTATTGTGAATAATGCTGCTGTGAACACTGGTAATATTAATTCCTTTTTTTTTTTTTTTTTTTAAGACAGGGTCTCACTCTATTGCCCAGACTGCAGTGCAGTGGCATGATCATATCTCACTGCAGGCTCAACCTACTGAACTGAATCAATACTTGCATCTCAGCCTCCTGAGTAGCTAGGATTACAGGCATGCACCACCACACCCATCTAACTTTTGTATTTTTTGTAGAGATGGGGTTTTGCCATGTTGCTCAGGATGGTCTTGAACTCCTGGTCTCAAACAATCCATCCACCTGCCTGCCTTGGCCTCTCAAAGCACTGCGATTACAGGCATGAGCCACCAAGCCCAGCCAACTCTGTCTTTAAGATAAGGAAAAAGAGGCACAGAGAAAGTATTTGTCTAAAGTCATATAACCTGTGCTCTTGCCAACAGAAATAAGAATACAAATAAGAAGTCTCACCATATCAACCGTCAAAACATTTCATATATGTTTCTACTCCAATCAAGACACTAGGCAGAGTCTGTCATGATTTTACTGGCCACCAGAGTTCATCTCAGCTGCCAGCCCAGCTGACCTGAGAATGGCTGCCTACCAGGCTGTATTGAGGCCATAGCTGGGCTCAAGGAGAAACAGTATCAGAGTCACACTGAAACTTCAGGCTGCACTTACATCCATCAATATGATCAATGAGGCAGTACACGTGAGAGCACATAGGAAACCGTCAAGTACTTGACCAGTGTCAGATGATGATGACTGTCATCTCTGCAGAACACCAGATCCAAAAACCCTAAGAGGCAGCTCCAAGTCCTCTATCCCCACATTTAATATTACAATGAAAATACTCAGGGACAAGCTCTGAGAGCCACTAAGAAAATCTGGGGATTAAGGAAATTGAGACTTTATAATTACTAAAATACAACAAACTGCATTTCTAGAACCCCATTTTTTTCAGTTAATGAAAATAAAGCTGCCAGCTACAGTTTTAAATAATGTATGTGTTGCAATCATGCTCAAGGACACAAAACTTGGAGAGATGGTATAAGAATAAACCACTGCATATTATTATGCAGGTGAATGCCCCTGCATAACTGGCTTGCATTCAGCAAAGCGCTGCTTCTGCAACTCAACCTAATGAAAACTGACTGTACCTTTGCATTAATTGCCAAAATCTGGGAGATTCAGAACTTGCAAAATAAAGCCCTTCATCAACTGCCCCTCTTGGACTTACCCTGGGTTCATCTCAAAGCATGCATCCTGTAGCATACTCCTAAGGGTCTGAAGTTCATGTTACTTCCTGAAGTAAAATGCCCATCCCCCTCTTCACTGCTAATTCACAGTCACCCCTTCTTTCAGACCAAACTGAAAGCTCACATCCCTCAGACTCTCCAGAGCTATGCCCCAACACTGGTCCCTACTTCCTTTATCGCCCCCTGAGGGTGTCATGTACACCTGTGTCCTACAGACTCATGTTCTTAAATATGTATGTGTGTTTAGATTTCCCAAGGCAGAAGTGAAACTCCCATATCTCTAATGAATACACACTGAGAGCCTCTTAGGTGTTTTAACAGTGGCAATGTGGATATGGCTATTCCTATTCCTGGACAGTAGAGTGGTCCTCTTCTAACCAAGCAGGTCACCACCTTTAAAGCATAGATGCCCACAGAGTGGGCTTAGCCAAATGAACCAAATTAACTCCAGAAATTAGGAAGGTACCAACCCAAGGCCCAGGGCCCCTTACATTAGTGGTCCTCAAAGCCAGCCATACACTAGAATCCCCTGGGAGTTGTTTTTAAAAAGACGGCAATGTCCAGGTCCCACCACCAGACTCTTTGACTGTTGTTCTGGGGTGAGATACTGGGTTTATATAAATCTAGATATAAATTATACCTATACATAAGTGTAGATATGGAGACAGATCTCTTAAGTTTTTCCAGGTGATTCTAAGGTGCGCCCAGAGTTGAGAACGACTGCGTTATAGCAACTGAAATAATACAGAAGCTATACTATCTTCTGAGAAATCATTAATATGGATAAATAACTGAAAGACTTGAAAAGGGAGCTGAAGCCAATCTGAGCAATGGTATTAATTACATCACTATGAAGAAAAGGTGTCAGTGTTCAAGAAATGGATTATTATGCTTAAAATGGGCTTGTGTTTAGCAAAGAAAGCATGGCACTCATATACTAGAATTTTTACTACTATTCCAATTCATAAAGAACCCAGCACCAGTATTTTCAACAAGATCAGTCTAGAAACCTTGAAAACCACAACTTCTGCTCCTTCTCATAGCAGAAACTCAAGAGAAATTTCCTACTTCATTTAACCATCACTGTAAAAGTATCATCAGTTCATAATCTGATACAGCTGACAGAGCCTAGCTCCTATAAGCAAATATTCAAATTGAGACAAGGTTTTGGCAAAGCTAAGTATGCATATTGGACATTAAAAAAAGATTTAGCATTGTTTTTAATTCCCTTGAAGTTACAAATTGCATTTCTCTGAGTAAAAAGTGAAACTGAAAACAAATGTGCCTAATAAAAGGAAATACTGCCATTGCTTCATTATTCTCTGCTTTGCTAAAAAATCAATAAATACAACTAAAAAAGTTTCTTAATGAAATATTAATAATAAATATTTCTTACAAACTGGGGGCTTTGAGGGACTAACAGTAGGAAGAAAAGGCAAATCTAGAGAAAAAAAAACTGTCCTCTCTCTTCTGAGGGGCCAGTGAGGCAGAGCTCACCTGGAAGTCATTCTTCACTGCGTGGAGGTCATACACAAAGAGCTTCTGGCAATGAGGCAGGAGAAGGGCCAGCAGGAGGGAGAGGGCACTGGGCACCAGCAGAAGGCTCTTCGACAGGGGCGCCTTGTCTGGAGGAAAAAGGAAACCATTTTCAGAATGATTGTTCCTAAGATTTAAAAAACCACATGGGTGAAAAGCAAGAGAATTCATTTCTTTTAAATCAGAATGAAGACAAAGTCCAGAAGCTCTGAAATTTAGTTCTAACATGCATTTTCAAATCATTGACCTGTGGAAGTAAGTGATCAAAAGACGCTGGAAACAAGCAGAATGCACTGGTAGGGCTTCACTGTCAGTTGGCTCTTAAATGAGACCAAGTTTACAGCCAGAACTTCCACAGAAACACCTTTCAGAAAATGGTTACCCAAGTGTAAAGAAATAAGAGAAGCGTGTTTTCTGTCAAATCAGCCAGTTAGCTCCTGAGTAGGCACAAAAATTCATATATATAAATAGATTTTAAAGTTTTATTTTGTAATTGATACATTAGGTGAACATATTTTGAGAGTACATGTGATAATCTGATACATTCATATAATCACATCCAGAGATGGAGTCTCACTTGTCGCCCAAGTTGGAGTGCAGTGGCGTAATCTCAGCTCACTGCAACTGCCATCTCCCAGGTTCAAGGGATTCTCCTGCCTCAGCTTCCTGAGTAGCTGAGATTATAGGCACACGCCACCACACCTAGCTAATTTTTGTATTCTTAGTAGGGACCACATTTCGCCATGTTGGCCAGGTTGTTCTCAACCTCCTGGGCTCAAGCGATCCTCCCACCTCGGCCTCCCAAAGTGCTGGGATTACAGGCTTGGGCCACTATGCCCAGCCTGGGGAACTGTTTCTTTAAGCTAGGAACACTGAATTATTCTCTTCTAGGTATTCTGAAACATCCGATAGATTAGTGTCAACTACAAACACCCCACTGATCTACTGAACACCAAGTCTTATTTCTAAGTGTATGTTTGTACCCATTAATCAACCTCTTTTTATCCCCCTCTCCCTCCTACCCTTCCCAGCCTGATAACCACCAGCCTACTCTCTTTCTTCATGAGATTCACTATATTAGCTCCCAAGTGTGACTGACAAAATGCAATCTTTGTCATTTTGTTCTTAGCTTATTTCACTTAACATGTCTTCTAGTTCCATCCATCCTGCTGCAAATGACAGGATTTAATTCTTTTTTCACAGCTGAATAACATTCTTCTGTGTGTGTGTGTGTGTGTGTGTGTGTGTGTGTGTGTGTGTGTTCCTTATCCATTCATCCATTTTTTTTCCATTCATGCATTGATGGACACTTCCGTTGATTCCACATTTTGGCTATTGTGAATAGTGCTACAATAAACATGGGAGTGCAGATATCTCTTTGATATACTGATTTCCTTTCTTTGGAATATATATCAAGTAGTGGATCATATACTATTTGAAGAATCTCCATACTGTTTTCCACTGTGACTGTACTAATTTACATTCCTACCAACAGTGTACTAGGGTTTCCCTTTCTCCACATCCTGGCCAGCCTCTGTTTGTTTTGGGTTTTGGGGTTGTTTTGTGTTTTGTAGAGAGTTTTGCTCTTTTGCCCAGGCTGGAATGAAGTGATGTGATCTCAGCTCACTGCAACCTCCATCCCCCAGGGTTCAAGCGATTCTCCTACCTCAGCCTCCCGAGTCTGGGATTACAGGCGCCTGCCAGCACACCCAGCTAATTTTTGTATTTTTAGTTAGAGATAGGGTTTCACCATGTTAGTCAGGCTGGTCTTGAACTCCTGAATTCAGGTGATCCACCCACCTCAGCCTCCCGGAGTACTAGGATTACAGGCGTGAGCCACCACATCTGGCAGCCAGCCTCTGTTACTCCTGTCTTTTTGATAAAAGCTATTCTAATTCATGGCTTATTGTGAAATATTTGTGAAATAGCCCATTGTGGTTTTGATTTGCATTTCTCTGATGATCAATGATGTTGAGTATCTTTTCATATGCCTGTTGGCCAGTTGTATGTCATCTTTTGAGAAATGTCTATTCAGATCTTTTGCCCACTTTTAAATGGGATTATTTGGGTTTTGTGCTATTGAGTTGAGCTCCTTACAAATTCTGGTTATTAATCCCTTGTCAGACAGAGTAATCTGCAAGTATTGCAAGTATTTTCTCCCATTCTGTGGGTTATCTCTTTATTGACTTTCTTTTTCTGTGCAACAGGAGTTTTTTAGTTTGAGGTAATCCCATTTGTCTATTTTTCCTTTGTCAGCCTGTGCTTTTAAGGTCTCACACAAAAAATCTTTGCCTATAGCATGTCCTGGAGCATTTCTCCAACATTTTCTGCTAGCAGTTTCACAGTTTCAGATCGTAGACTTCAGTCTTTAATCCATTTCCTTTGATTTTTATATATATTAAGAAATATGGGTCTTTCATTTTTCTGCATATGGTTAGCCAGTTTTACCAGCACAATATTTTTTGAGACAGGGTCTCACTCTATTGCTCAGACCGGTGTCCAGTGGCATGATCATAGCTCACTGCAGCCTTGAACTCCTGGGCTCAAGTTATTCTACTACCTCCCTAGTAGCTGGACCTACAGGCACTAGCTACTACACCTGGCCTTTTTTTTTTTTTTTTTTTTGTAGAGATAAGGTCTTGTCATGTTGCCCAGGCTGGTCTCAAACTCCTAGTCTCAAGTGATCCTCTCACCTCAGCCTTCCAAAGGGCTAGGATGATAGGCATGAGCCACCGCACCCAGCCCCAGCACAAATTTTTTGAAGAGACTGTCCCTTCTCCATTGTATGTTCTTGACACCTTTGTTGGCTGCAAATGCATGGATTTGTATCTGGGTGTTCTAATCTGCTCCACTGGTCTATGTGTCTGCTTTTATGTCAGTATCCTGCTGATTTGGTTACTCTGCAGTATATTTTGAAGTCAGGTAGTGTGGTATTTCACTTTGTTCTTTTTGCTCAGGATTACTTTGGCTACTCAGTCTTTTGTGGTTCCACATAAATTTTAGGATTTGTTTTTCTATTTCTGTGAAGAATGTCATTGATATTTTGACAGGATTGCATTGAATCTGTAAATTGCTTTAGGTAGTATTGCCATTTTAACAATATTAATTCTTCCAATCTGTAAGCATGGAATACCCTTTCACTTTTTGTGTGTTCTTCAAGTTCTTTCATCAGTGTTTGATAGTTTTCCTTGTACATATATTTCACATCTTTGGTTAAATTGTTGCTAGGCGTTTTGTTTTTAAAAAATTAAAAGAAGCCAAAGTCTTAACACTGCTGTCTGCAGTGGCCTCCTGAGATTTTCTACCATGAGTACAATTGGAGCCCAGGTCAGTTTTCCAGGAGAGCCTAGTGCAGGCGTCCCCAAACTTTTTACACAGGGGGCCAGTTCACTGTCCCTCAGACCGTTGGAGGGCTGCCACATACTGTGCTCCTCTCACTGACCACCAATGAAAGAGGTGCCCCTTCCTGAAGTGCAGCGGGGGGCCGGATAAATGGCCTCAGGGGGCCGTAGTTTGGGGACGCCTGGCCTAGTGTAACCTCTGCCTTGCACTAAAGCAGTCACAGCCCTCTTCCTCCTTGACCTAATCATTTACATATTAAGTATGAAAGAATTATACTACTAAGGTTATTTTAGAAACTATAAATGTCTTCTCTCTTCCCTCTGATGAGAGGAAAAAAAGAAGCAAATATGTTTTATTCTAGCTCACTTTTTTTCCCAGTACAACAAAATGTCAGCTTTTACCTACTCAGGAACATTTCCTCCAAGTATGTCATTTAATCAAAATGTGCACTATTGTGCACTATTGTGTCACTATTGTGACATCTAGGTAGCCTCTTCTCTCCCTCCTGGTCTTCCTTGGTTCCACCTTTTTGTTTTCGTGCTTTCCTCTCTCATAGACCCTGGAAACAAGCCCCTGAAGCTACCTGCTGAGCTAATCCATGGGGCAGAACAAGCGCTATGAGAAGGGAAAGGACCTGGGGTCCAGAAGACTTGGGCTTGAACCCTCATTTTCACACTTACTGATGCTTGTCATTGGACACAGCATCTGACCTCTCTGAGCTTCAGTCACCTCATCTGACCTAATCCTCAGGGTTACGCTAAGAATGAAATGAGGTAATGCATGTAGAAATGGCTAGCACAGTATCTGGTCTATGATGGGAGCTCAGAAATATAAAGTGAATCTAAATCTAGGAAAACTGCTAAATTAACATGTTTTCCTTGGAAATAATTACTTCCTATAATAACCTTGTAATATTCATAGTATCAAAAGACTATCTTGAGAACTCAAGTGGTACCAGCAGATTTGGTTACAAAAACATGGCAGAGATTTTCATCAAATAATGAAACACTTATGCTTCATCAAGAACCAAAAACATTGCATACAGTTGTGAAAAAGTTTTACAACTTAATAAAAGTTTAATTGTAAACGTTTATTGTGAAAAAGTTTACAATTAAGACTTACACTGGGAATTACATAATGATAATTTTGATAATTCTGTCATTGCTTTTATATTTCTTAGCTGGCATTCTGCCTTCATTCTTCTTGTTTCTTAGTATCACTACACACTCACAAATTTTTACTTAGTCATTGTGTTACAATCAGCTGCATTCTTTTTCCAACATTCAAACTGTCTGGGTGGAAGCCCTCTGACCAGCTCCTGTGGCCTTTCAACCATGGCCCTCCATGCCTGCTCTGGCTGCCCCATTTACCCATTTTGTCCTTGCTTTAGGCTCTCCTGTACTCTCCCTGCCCAAGACCTAGAATTTCTCTAAGGATCCATCCTGTTAGGGAATGGGGAATGTTGGCGAATGGTCTTCAGAAACAAAATCTGAGGCTGGGTGCCGTGGCTCACAACTGTAATCCCAGCATTTTGGGAGGCTGAGGCAGGTGAATCACAAGGTCAGGAGTTCAAGACCAGCCTGGCCAACCTAGTGAAACCCCATCTCTACTAAAAATACAAAAATTAGCTGGGCATGGTGGCACGGGCCTGTAGTCCCAGCTACTCAGGAGGCTAAGGCAGGAGAATCACTGGAACCTGGAAGGTGGAGGTTACAGTTAGCCAAGATCATGCTATTACACTCCAGCC